GGGGGTCACATCACAGTGGAGTCAGCTGTCTTAACCGTGGCTTGTGTACTGCAAACACATACCAGCTTCATCACTGTGTCTGTCACGCGACTCTGTTCCCCTTTCGGGCTTGAACTGATGGTAAAACTAATGACATTATTTACTGTCTTTACATTTATTTTGAAAGATGAAGCTCGCGATTATGGTAAGGGGCGTTACATTTCCGACGAGTGCTTGTGGTGTTCGGCCAATCACAATGCACTGGGTCAGCTGGCCAATCAGAGCAGACTGCGCTTGTCGGAAGGAGGGACTTTGTAGAAAACAAAGCGTTTGAGAGGGGCGGGGCATAGAGGACCTACAATAATGTACAGAATTTGAAAAATAATGTGTTTTTTGAACATTAAAGCATGTCAACATATTCTATTACACCAAATACACAAAATAATGATCTTTAAAAAAGCATCATATGACCCCTTTAATATTGGCAATAATTGATGTTTTTGACAATATCTCTGGCTATCGTCGATACAAGATCATCGTCTTTTGACGGAACCCAGCAAGGGGAGTTTATCGCGGGGCCCTAAAAAGATGCCCTAAAATAATTTCTGCAAGTTTTCCCTTCTTTAAATGAAATCCTCCCTCCACAGTGAATAAGGACACATACCTATCCACAGGGATTGATGATGACATCACCAGAACAGACTATGCATTCATCCCATCTGTCTACCTGACCAACAACCTGAAAAAGAGCTGAAGCCCTCAGCTTACTGCTCTCAGGATCTAATAATCTCCACGCTATTGCTGTGACTACAAAAACAGCAAAGATGAAAGAGTGGTGCGTTAAAAAAAATTGAGCAGAAAAGAGGAGTGTGTGTTAGTCTATGACTCAGCTGATTCGTGTGAACCTTAGGAATGCTATAAAAAGCTTCATTCGGCTTCCTGGGAGCCGCAGTGGCCAGATAAACACTTTATTACACACTGCTACACGCAGATTCACCATCTGGCCTGAGAGAGAGTGGAAGCCGAGCTTGTGTGTGCCCAACAGTACTGTGCTATCTTTGCTACCTTATTCACACACACACACACACACACACACCTTACACCAGGGCCATCAGAACAATCTGAAATATGAGGGCAGAACATAGTATAAACAACTTATAAATATTAATTAGATGAGGAAGAGTTCGTTCAATAAGAGTAACGTATTTTCTAAAAAAGCGTTTGCTGAAAGAAGTACCTCTTGTGTTCAAGTAAACACCGCATTAGATTCATTAGATTTTTGCGGCTGCAAGGTTTTTTGGAGATTAAAAAGTTCTTAATGTTCGATTATCAAGTTCAGATCTGTGAATCTGTGAACAAATTAAACTCTCCTAAGATCTTTAGAGCAGCACTTGGAAAAATCTAGAGATTTAAAACTTCTTTGTGGACCTTAAAAAGGTTCTTCTATGGCATTAGGCTGTAAAACCTTTTCTGGTTCTAATTGGAAAGTTTATTTTTAAGTGTGTGTGTGTTAAATAGTATTGTGAGATTGTTATAGGCTGTTGTTTTGAAGAGGTGTAGGCTAGAGGGACCGTCCTCTGTGATCTCCTCTTCCCACAGGGCCTCCGCGTCTTTGAACACCTGGTGCTAATAACCAACCCAGTGCTGTTCCCACACAACATTATCAGCGGAACACAACTGACTGCAACACTCAATACAGAAGGGGAATTCGCTAAGAATGAACTGCGCCCACTGATAGTGTCATTTATTTGCACATGCTGTCTGCGCTGTTTTAGGATGTGATTCACTAAAGGAATTATGCAAATCAGGTAACGGCACAAACACAGCCAAAAAATGACTGCGGAATGCAATTTGCACAACACTATTCCATGAGTTTTAGGACGGCTCTGAGCGCTAGGGTCTTTAGAATGCTAAAAATGTTTTGATATACCCATACACAATTTTTTTCTGGCCACAATATATTTTAAATATATACTCAATCAATGTGTGTTTATAAATTGAAAATGTATATTGTTTAAACCTTTAAATGCCACAATATATTAGATGAAACTTGTACTCAAAGGAGCAAGTATACACTTCCAATCTTAAAATATATTTTGGGTAAATACAATTATTTTTTAAATGTACTTTGGAAAATATATTAATATATTTTGACTGAAAATGGCCCAAAATTTTACTATACTATTACTAAAACTTGCAGAAAATATATGTATGCAAATATATTTTTTAAAACAGTTGCCATTTCAAAGTACATAAAAAATATATCTGATAAAAAAATGGAGAAGGGCAATGTAACAGCATATACCCTTACAGTAAAAAACTAAATTATATATACGTACAGTATATATATATATATATATATATATACACACACACACACACACACACACACACACACACACACATACACCTATATAGGCTACATATATATACATGGGTCAAAGACGTTAAGATGTCCATAGAAAGCACATTAAATGCGAGTAAAGCGTCTACATTTAAGGTTTCAAATAAGTTTTTGAAAAGTAAAATGTCAAAATTTGGTTTAAATAATGTTGCATTGTCATTCAGTGTAACACAATATTTATGTAAAAATTCAAACAACATGCTTATTCTAACGTGTACATATTAAAATATATAAAAGAATGAGTGAGCATATTAAATATTATTGGGTTTTAAATGAGTAAAAAATTATTACTGACAAATGGGCAAAACCTAGGATAGTGGCAAATTTAAAAAGATTTCAAATAACAACAAATTAGTATTTGGGGTGAAAGTAATTATTTTTTAAAGTGTCATAAATTGATTTTTGTTGTAAATATGCCTGACAAGATTGTTACACTGAATTACATTTTAGTGGGTGTCTTCTGTAAATCAGGGGAAAAAAATGTCAAAATTTGGTTTAAATAATGTTGCATTGTCATTCAGTGTAACACAATATTTATGTAAAAATTCAAACAACATGCTTATTCTAACGTGTACATATTAAAATATATAAAAGAATGAGTGAGCATATTAAATATTATTGGGTTTTAAATGAGTAAAAAATTATTACTGACAAATGGGCAAAACCTAGGATAGTGGCAAATTTAAAAAGATTTCAAATAACAACAAATTAGTATTTGGGGTGAAAGTAATTATTTTTTTTAATGTGTCATAAATTAATTTTTGTTGTAAATATGCCTGACAAGATTGTTACACTGAATTACATTTTAGTGGGTGTCTTCTGTAAATCAGGGGAAAATGTTTGATACTTATTTTTTGCTCAGAAAAAACAAACAAAAAAATACAATTACATTACACAGAAAACTTTGAGGGGGGGGGGACAACAACAATTTAAAGCAGTATTATTTTTATGTTTAAACCCTTTTCTTTGGCCATAAGGGTGTATATATATGTTTTCATTGATGATAACAGCTTGTTCAATGTTAACTTCTAGCCAAATACTTCTAACTTGTGCAATCTATAATAATATAAATAATATAAAGCATGTACCTGATACCTGAGGGTGGTTATTCAATAAGACTGATTTAGCAGGTGCAAAGGTTTAGAAAAATCTTTCAGATATAATCAGAAACCTTAGAATAAAATAACACCAATTATCATTCCTCTCAAAAAGCCTCTCATCAGGTATGTGATGATTTTCACTCTGTATTCTGTGCAGTTTGGCCAACAGTGCAATTTCACCTCCTGCAGACATGCATTTTGGGAGAAAAAAGTACTTTTCTTTTTTAAAGGAACCACCTTATTCAGCATTTGTTTGTCGAGCTGTGAGATTTCTGCCTTGATGAGGCAGCAATGTGCTGCTGAAGGGAGAAATGCAGCCCGTCGTGACAAAACCCTATCCAAAAACATCTGAGCGTGGCTCCCTTCTCCGCCTCATTCCTTAATCATCTCGCCATGCTTGAGCAACACCTGAAACCCAGCCGATCTCTCTTACTAGAGCTGTCCGCTTTAGTTCAATCTCTTTAAAAGCATCCATCTCCATTTTCCCTTTCTAGCCTCTGAGCTGGCCGCCCATTTGTTCCATATCCTTTGTTAAGGATGATATGCCAGTTCGAGTTTTACAGTAAAGCAATTATTTTGTCTTGCACAGTCGAGTGGCTGGGAGCACGCCGACCTGTTAGCCGGATCAAAATCAAATGGAGCGGCGAGGGAGCTGCTCGGAACCCAACGCCGGGTCTCGCTCTGATAGCTCTGCTCAGCTCGCTGCCGCCCGTGGGTTCCGCTGCTAACCGATACCAACAGGGACAAGCGCGCAACACGGAGGGGAGAGAGACATTGGTGAGGTTTAAGGATCGATGTGTCCAGTGGGCCGCTTGCCTACCTTTGATATGCCTGAGGAGAGGTGGGAGGCGTGGTGAACACCTGGGAATAAGGATGATAAGGCGTCTTCTTCAGCGCCTGGATGAGATTCTGTCTGTATTCTGGGTCTATGCACCACAGGGAGCCCTTCCCGATACTCTGTGGAGGAGGAAGAGGAGTATATAGTCAGGACAGAAAAAGAAAAACCATCTAAACGTCTCAAAAGACAACAATAAAGAGCAGGGCAGCTAGCAGAACCAGTCAAAGATGTTCAGCTGTGGTGAAAACTGGTGTTTGTGTACTTTTTCTTTTACCTTTTGGCTGCGATTAATTGCCTGCTATTCTGGTGTGTGGATTTCAATGTATGGATCATATCTGTGGACATCCGTTATTGAGCTATACATCCCTTTGTTGTGTTAATTTCCTTCACATCCCAAACATCAGATCATCAAGAAGGAATGAAATCATGAATATTCAGTGATGGATATCTGAGCATAAAAATACTTGTTCTATCTCTTGAAAATGGGCCGTCTTAAGATGTTTCAAATCCTAGTGTGCTGCCTACCAAGGCAGCATTGTTAGGCATCAAAGGTGTGCTATGGTTAAATTCTAAAGCAGCATAACATGTATCCTTTGCAGATTTACAATTCCAGAATGCACTGTGAATGGCACTGTTTAGAGAAATATGGAGTGTTCACATTTCCTGTCACTTTGTAGCTACACTGTAAAAAATGATTGTGATTTTAACAGTAAAAGACTGTAAAATGCTACAGTAAAAACATGTTAACTGGTTAACAGTAAGTTTCCATACTATATTCGGTGAATAAATGTAATTTCATTTAATGTAATTTTACAGTAAAATACTGTTAAAAATAAGTTTTTTGGAAGTGAAAAAGAAAAGGACATTGTATAATTTACAGTGACAAACCTTAAATTGACACTCCCAGAATTCCATGCATGACACTTCATATTTGATGTTTTTCTTTTGGTGAAATAACATGTTTCTTCTTAGTTTTTTGTTATCAGTTGTGTACATTAGGGTTTAATCTTACATCTAATGTTGTTAAATTAATGTTTATTGCATCATTTCAGTATCATGTGTGTCACCATGATGGGGTTTAGTGTTTGTGTGAATGACACTGTGTGCAACTTCTATATATAAGTATTGCCCTCCTCAGCTCGTAGAAAAGCTGTTTGTGATGAGCTTTGGTTCATCACGTGACTTTCTCATCACCACCAGTTTTTGGTGGTTATCAGTGCATTACAATAGTTCAAAACAGATATTATTACTTCCATGTGTTGGTTTATTAACATTGCATCAGTTAATGGAATACGGTATTTTATTGTGAATTTAAGTTAAGTCTGTAAAACCTAAAATGTTGCTACCATATTTTTTATGGTGAAGTTCTGGCAACCACAGCTGCTGGTATTTTACCGTAAATGTCACAGATATTTTTTTACAGTGTACAAATCATTTTAAATACAAATACACATCTTACTTGGCAAAATATAGCAAATATGTTAATTTAGTGAATTTCTGAGTTAATGCTTTGCTCTGGCTACAAGATAAGGCTGAGTTTGTTTGGTCCAGTACAAGGGAAGAAATGAGAACCTGACCACCTGCATTCCCTTGACCTCCACATTCTCCAGTTCATTAAAGTGAAACGGGCAGAAAAAATGCACCAAAAACCCAAGAAGTGCAAACTACAGCTAGCACATATGCTACAGACCACTTAGACAAACTCAGCATTTTAAAAAACAGCACGGTGAGCGAACACTCCCGGTATATAAATTAGCTCTCCTGACAGATCCTGCTGAAAAGGAGGAAACAGCAAAATGTCACTTTGAAAGTGATATCAGGGGGAAATTACTTGAGCTCATTAGTACAGACTACAATCAGTGTCATGTTACTAAGTCCCATTTTTCAGCTCAAGTTATCCCTGTACTGTCAGAGATTTACACAATCAGCGAACCACGGCGACAGAAGAAAGTGTAGACTATCACAGTGCTTTTGTAAAGTCAAAGTCATTTCCTTTCACTCAGGCACTTCAAAGCGATGGACAGCATGTGCTGTTTTTTTAGACAGACTGTGTGTTCTCAATGAATCAATAGTCATGACCTACAGATAACTGACAGAGTGTCATACTGTGTGCCCTGAGGTAATACACACACACACTGGTCTGGGCCGTGTGTCACGTATTCATACTTCGCTGAACTAACAAACCGGACATTGCTTTTGCAAGAGGTTTCACACCCTGAAATCAGTCGTCTCTACTGACCGCTGTTAATCACTTTGAGTTAATTGAGTGTTTTTTTGAAGGGGCCAAAGTATCTTTAACAAAAAGCTGGCATGAGATTTTTTCAGCTTGAACACTAGATTCCCCCGAAAAGGGCTAAGAAACGATAACACACTCTATTGATTGCAGCAAACCCCAGAGCGAGTGCTCGGCTCTTTACCCACAGTATTTGGCTTCAGTGGAAAGATTTGTACCAGCGCAAGTCAAACAATTCAAACCCTTGGAGTGTTTTAGCAAACAAAATAAACAGCACATTTATTGGACTCACAATTCATTTACACTCACGTCTCGATGATTTAAAGCTTGACCTGTAAAATCTGAGGTACAACAGCAACGATAAAAAATCTAGTGGTTAAATAAATAAAGACTAAATTGTTATAATAATAAAAATAATATCAATAGCAACAAAAATACTGCAAATACTACTATAACAATAACTACTAATTATAATTTATATTTTATTATTTCTATTTATAATTTGTATTATAATCATATATAATTATTCCAGTAAATAACTGAATAGTAGGCCAGTGGAGTGTTGGATCGTGCCATGTAATATTTTTCCGGAGGGCAAAAAATTCAATTTTCTTCAGAAAGCAGCGAATGCATTTATTCTTAGCACAAACTGACATTAACTCCACCTAATTAAGCTGTCAACTTTCCATCAGCGTGTTTTAAAACCATACCTGGACCAACCACAAAGATGAATTGCACCATGAAATTCAATCCTTAAATGGTCTGTCCGGTAGATGCTCTGATGGAAATGAAAAATAGGGGAGTTAAAAGAAATGAACAGGATGGAAGCAATGAAAAAAAAAGAAGAAGAAGCAAGGCAAAATATAGCGACTCGTAAAGAAAAAATTAAATTAAATTAATAAATATATATTATTATAGGGACACAGAAGCATCGAAAATACAAAAAACTAATCATTATACTAGTATTATTAATAATATTCATATTATTATTACTATAGGGACATAGAAAAATGAAACTAATAAAAACAAAGTGTGCTACAATTTCCCCCTTCAAATATTACTTATATTTAGCTAAAATAACTGAAAAAAGTGGGTGTACTGGCCTTTTTGTCTCTTGGGAACAGGCAAAAGTGTGAGATTAAACAAAGACGATCAATTCTAATAACCATAGCATCATAAATCGCAGGAAAATCTACTACTGTTGAACTGACTAAAGTCAGTTTCTCTTGAGAATATGACATTCTGACAGCTTCAAGAAAGTGAAAAAAATACCTATTGGGGAGTTAAAGTTGCACCCCTGAAATATTAGTTATACGCAAGCGGCAACCTTCTGGTCTCTCTCGTGAAACCAACACGGAAGTGACTAAAACTGCAATTCATCGACTGGCCGCAAGAGGCTGGCTCCAAACAGGAGTCAGTCCCATAGACTCCCCATGTTAAAATGCCCAACTTTACAGCAGAAAAAAAAAAACGTTTACATCCTGGTATAAAAAGTGGTTTTGGTCTATATAGCTAATTTTGCCCTTCATAACAACTGTGAGGGGGGTGATTTTTTTTTATAACTCATCTGTTCCCCTGAAATATTAGTTATACGCAAGCGGCAACCTTCTGGTCTCTCTCGTGAAACCAACACGGAAGTGACTAAAACTGCAATTCATCGACTGGCCGCAAGAGGCTGGCTCCAAACAGGAGTCAGTCCCATAGACTCCCCATGTTAAAATGCCCAACTTTACAGCAGAAAAAAAAAAACGTTTACATCCTGGTATAAAAAGTGGTTTTGGTCTATATAGCTAATTTTGCCCTTCATAACAACTGTGAGGGGGGTGATTTTTTTTATAACTCATCTGTTTAAATTATATTAAGCCTTAAAGTTCTGCATAATTAAGGGCGTTGTCACTTGAGTGACAGGTGGATTGCCACTGCTGTCACCACCGTCAAGCTAGGTGGGCATGGTTTCAGAAACCAGCTCTCGCCTCTTTGCCTATTTTCGATTATCTGGTAGTGACGTGTGGTGACGCGCTGCCAAGATGGCGACGGTCGGCTCCGCCAACTTTGAGCTTCAAAAACGCTCTTCAGAAACCTACAGGTGACGTCACGGACACTACATCCATGTTTTTATACAGTCTACGGTTATACACAGTGACTACTATATGTACTATTTGAGTACTATGTGTACGTTCAGACACAATAAAGCTTCCAACAGGGCCACATCTGTCTTTAAAGGGTGTGATATGTGATCCTGAGAGTATCAGATTATTTATATGCTCCGTGGAGAAGAGGCTGCACTGGTCTATTTCCAAATGTTCCGTAATCAGGAGAAATCAATAGGTTTCAGAGCACTTTGCCTCAGATTTATCTCCATCTCCTGACAGCTGCTGTGTCCGTCTGAAGGCCAGCTCAATGGCACCAGCCAATAGAGTCTCCAATCAGAGAGAGGGGGTGAAAAAGGGAAAGGAGAGCCAGGGAAAAGGGGGGAAAGCACTTGGATTACACTGGTCTCCAAGGCAACAGGCAATGGTGGAGTATATAAAGACTGTTTGATAGTCTTGGCAGAGAGATCTTTCATTCTCTCTAAGAAGCACGGGCCTCTGAAGATGCTATATTCCATTATAAGCAGTAAAGTTAATCCAAAATGAAAGACCTGCTATTATGAAGCACCCCCTCCCCTTGACCCGACTGTCCAGAGTCCCCCCTTTTATGCTCACAATTTTAAACATGTGAAAAAAAGAACTGTGGGAAAATATTTAACCCAAAAAGCCATGTTTTGGATCCATCTATATGAGACAACTGCCCATTATACTATCACACTGCAAAACTACAAAAACACCCGTTTCTTTCTTTCTTTCTTATGACTGTTTATATAGGTGGGAGTTTAAAAAAAATCCC